GATGCTTGGATTAAAGACCTTGTTCCATGCCGTGGGTTTCCCCTCCACTGAAGGAGATGATTGCAGGCACTCAGCGGGCCGGTTGCTTTTTGCACATGTGTCTTGGGGAGCTGTCGCTGGGAGTGGATGTAATGGAAGGGGAAATCTCAGATTGTGATACAGCTGTCTGGGTTTCTTCTCTTGGCGTTTTGGTGGAAATGGAAGAGAAAGAGTATTCATATAGCCAGGATGCATAGGGCTGTGCCCTCTCCAGATGTCTCGCTGGAGTGGTCTTATTTGAAGAAGTGTGGGGTGGGGAATTGCCCCTTGTGGGACAGAAGTCTCTGTAGCCTGAGCCAAAGCAGCTGTGCTAACGGGTGCAGCTCCATTCGCTGCAGTGGAGTTGTACCCATTCACATCAGCTGAGGATCTGACCCTTAGGCTTGATTCCCTTCTTGTTTACACTTGTCCAGTGGAGCAACTCCTGACCCCCACTTCCTCAGTGGAGGAGCTGAATCTGGCCCTATGTTTGTAGGACATGCTGTACATATTAGACACCTCTGAGTCAGTATAGGCTCTTTTCCTATTGTAAAGCCCGCATGCATTTCAGATACATAGCATACCGGGTCCTATTCATGTAGGGTCTGTTTTGAACTGCTAGAGTGAGATTTCCACAGCCTAAACCTCCTTTCCGTCCTTCCAATTCTGGGCTGCTCCAGGGACCAATGAGGCCTCTGGCATAACTTACACAGCCCTAGGGGAGTGCCCAAGTTATGGCAGCCTGTCCCGACTTCCTCTGGGCAACGGTGCCACGAGAATGCCGACAGTGCTATGCATTGTAACTCTGCCCTGCCCTATACGCTGGGGCCTGAGGCAGCAGCCTGGTAGGGCTGCATGAATTGCCCTTACCCAAAGCCTATGGCAGGGGGAATTCTCCCTTCACTGACCCTTTGACATTGCCACAGTATAAAAGGGCTGTAGCAAAGGGGTGAAGCCCTCACCTAATGTTTAACCTGCGCATTCCCACCTGACTATTTCTGCAGTGCTTTCTGGCCTGGCTAATAGAGATGAAACCCTCCGCTAATAACTGAAAGATGGCCTCAAATTGCATAGTTCAGATCTAGAACTGGGTAGGAAATTGTTTTACTCTCCCATGAGAATTTTCAAGATTTTGAGAATTTATCTGCCCTGCACCTGGGACAAAAAGTCGAAATCTCAGATTCTGTTTTGTGAACAGCCAGTCCAAAAATAAAAAAATTTGGAATGGGTCAAAAAGTTTCCTTTCAATTTTGGTCTTTTAAAAAAATTAAACTTTTTGTTACTATAAATTAACTAACATTTTGAAACAAAAAGTCATTTTGGACCAAAGCTCACAGCTCTTTGGTTCAAAAAGGTTGATTTCCCCCCCCCCCACAAATTGGGAAACTTGTCAGATCCGACTCTTTCCTGCCGACCATTTTGGTGTCGACTAATCAATATTTTCTGATGGGGGGAAAAAACTCATTTAATCAGAAAATTCCCAACCAGCTCTATTCAAATCCAGACTTCTCCTTAGTGGGGCTCAGCTCTGGCTCTGCTTTGGGCCCATCTAAGCTTGTATCCTCCAGACCCCATCTCTCAAAAACCAAACTAAACCAAGCAAACATTGCATATTTGGTACTCAAAAAAAGTATGCTGCTGTGAGAGGCAATGCGGCTTTATTTTGCTGTTGCCGCTGTTAAAGGCGTTTAAAATGCTGAGCAAAACTTGCTTTCTGTGAACTGATCACGCTACTTCTTTGTAATTCACATAGTTGGGGGACAATGATTCTAAGCTTCCCTGTTGTCCTCTCATTCTCAATCACTTCCCCTTGATCAGTAAGAAGCTGCTTCATTAATGAATCTAGTTGTGCGGTGCCACTCATGGGTGGGGAAGAGAGAGCCTGGTTCTTCATTGTAGCATGTATACCAGTAGAAGTCTGTCCTATCTGACCAGCTATCAGTATGTACTGTGGTGATGAGTTGCACTAGAAATCTCTGTCTAGCGAGATTATCTGTCTCCTTTCAGAAGACCCAGGCTTCAGAGGGGTAGCCATGTTAGTCTGTATCAGCAAAAACAACAAGGAGTCCTTGTGGCACCTTAGAGACTAACAAATTTATTTGGGCATAAGCTTTCATGGGCTAAAACCAAGGCTGCCCAGATGGGGGGGGCAAGTGGGGCAATTTGCCCCAGGTCCCGGGCCCCGCAGGGGCCCTGCGAGCCCTGGCCCGGCGGTGGTCTGGGTCTTCGGCGGCATTTCGGTGGCGGGGGGCCCTTCAGTGCTGCCGAAGACGCGGAGCGACTGAAGGGCCCCCTGCCACCAAAATGCTGCCGAAGACCCGGACCGCTGCCGGGTGAGAACAAGTGCCGCAGCTGCTCCAGTACCTGAGCTAAGTAGAAGAAGGCTAGCTTGGATACATCTACCTCCCCCTGCAGTGTAGGCAGACCCTTAGCAAGGCCGCTTGGAAAGTCTGACTTGCACTTTCCAGTACTGTCCCCTGTAACGAAATTTTGCACAAGTTGTGGATCTGTTTTGGGGGGGATGATGTGAGGGGGAATGAAATGTTACTAGTTCACAATTCTGGACACATTCCAAAGTCCTTTTTACATTAAATTTTCAACAGACTTTGTTGAATATGACGAGCCTTGGAGACGCATGTGGTCACCATAGACACATTAGGAAACAGACAGATGCATCTGTACTTTGTGGTTTGAAAATTACGGTAACAACTTTCCCTTCAGGTCCCAACGTCAGCTTCCTATTTCAAAATCCAGGGGCATAAGGGAAGGAATTCTGCCGTTCTGGGACAGTGCGTTGCAGATGGATCAAGCGTTCTCAATGGGCAAGAGACATTTCCTAGTCTTTCTTTGTTGAACACTAGACTAACATTAGCCTTTCTTCAGATGATCCAGATGTGTTCTCGAACAAGCTGACATATAGGATTTTTGTGCCCTGTGGCAATGTGCTGGGTGATACATGAGTCATTGCCTTCTTAGTCACCGCTTTCCTTTTGACGCTTGCCACGAGTCATGAGTGAAATGCCAAGCGGATCGGAAGATGAGCACATACTCTCTGTCTGTTCACTTCAGACACTTTGTAGCAGAATCTCTTCTCCCTACACTGCCATAGCAGAGTCAATCGGTGGGAGTGTACATGCTCGCTGACAGGAAACCAACCCAGTCCATGGCAGAGTCTGATGCCAACATGCCGAAGAAGCTCTTCACTTCCCAGTAAAGCAGAGTGCTTTCACCTGCCATGCCTGTGCGTCAGTGCCACTTTTCCCTGGAAGGACCCACGTGTGGATTCTCTGAAGCGTGTATGAGGTAGGAATAGGGGCTTGATTCTCTGACTTGCCAAGTTCATTTTGCCCTGCTTAGGAGCCCAAGGCAGCTACAGGCCTCCATTAGAGACTTTCCCCTGTGCGGGGCAATCTCCACCAGCATATAGCTGATGGTGTGGCTAGACCAGCTCTGCCATGCCAGAACCCTCCTCCCTGCCCACTGACGTGAGGGAGGTAGTGGGTGGGCAGGGAGGCATAGGGTGGAGCACAGCCCTGTTACACTGGATTTGCCACTGAATGTAAGCTGCCCACCTTGGCTGTGAATTGAGGAGCCATGATCGCTGAGTTCTGCTTGGATACATTGGAGAATCAAGCCAAGAGAAATGCTGGGATGCCCCAGACTCAAGTTCAATACTTCGAGGCTCTTCTAGGATCCTAGTGTGTGTAGAGAATGAATAGGAGGCTGCTCCTGCCATCCAGAGGCAAAGGCTGCACTGGCTAAACCTTCCTCCCAGGAGAGATGGATTTTAGATTATTTTTTTTAATCAAGAGGCAAGGAAGCTCTGAGACCCCACTGAGGCCTCCGGCTAGAGAGGGGAAGGTGCACACCCAGCAGTAGCCATCTGGATGTTCAGCTCTGATTGCAGGGGAGGTGGCCTTAATGCGGTAATCTCTTCATTATTTGTAATAGGAGGAGATACATGATCACTGCCATGATGCTTAACTGAAAGGCTAGTTTTCTTACCACCAGTGTCACCCGCCACTCCCTTGAATTGGGTGTAATGCTGTAAGAGGGAGGATGCCACGTGACGTGCGACTCATCGTGTGTTGGCCTGCCTAGTGGGTTTGATCCCTAAGCAGTAGGGGTGGAAGGGTATTTTCCATATAGTGAAATCAATGGTGAAATGTGCGTGCAATCTGCTATTTCAACATGGCTCTGACCATCCTGCATGACAAGATACTCTATCCTAGAGCCCAGATAGCATGACCGTGTGTGTCCTGTGTTACCCCAATAGCCTCTTGGCATTTGCCTTACATTGGCCAGTCAGCAGCAGGGAGTGGCTGGAGAAGGAGCAGACCCAGCTCCCCTTTGCAGTCCCACAGGTTGTCTAAGGCTAGAACTATGATCTGAGCAGAGGCACTGTAGGATGAATCCATAGCCACCAACAATGTCCATCACGGTCACCATTTAAATTACACGCCTGCACTATGGGGTGGAAAGAACTCGGAACCATCTGCTCCCTTTACCATCTAAGCCATGAGACTTCCTTAGCTGTCAGTTATGTTAAGGCTCTTTGCCAGCCTGTAGCCACTAGACTTCATCATCATTGCAAACGCATGAGCCAGTCTTGCTCTCTCCAGCGGAGGGTAGTTGTGAGAAAATGCACGCGCACGTACTGCAGTTCTGGAGGATCTTACGCCCCCTGGTCATGGCAAAGAGACCCTGCAGCTCCTTTTGATTGAGTTGACAATGTCTCTTGCTTTGCTCACAGTTGGGAAGGTAGGGAAGACAGGCGATTGGCAAAGAAGATTACAAGGTAGCAATGATAGTAGCTGAAAAGGTCGGGAAGAGACTCTTAACTGGATGAAATTTCAAAGCGGATGTCCTTGCTTGTCAAGACTTCGGGGAGTTCTTTTGTGTTCTCTGCTCAGCAGAGTGCTCCTGGGTACGGCCTGGTGATGTTAACTCTTCTTTCTTTCTCTCTCTCTCTCCCCATTTAGGAGATGAACTAAAATGCAGCACACAACTTGCACAGAGGACAGGATCCATCATGCACTGGAAAGATGTCTGCATGGGCTGAGCAGAAGTACAGCCTCCTCCACCACATGGACTGGTAGGTGACCCAATATTCATATGCTTCCTGAAGGCCCAGGGTATCCTCACCAAACCTTGTGGCATAAATGTCCTGGGATTCTTCCTGCTCTTTCGGTTGATATTTGTACATCTCGTCCTTTGCCTGGTAACATTCTGACCAAGCAGCGGGAAGGTAATGTGGCTAGGAACTACCACCCCATTCCTCTAGCGACTTTGGGGCTCAGAACCACCTTTCCTTCAATACGTGAGTTAGAGATGGGTCCGCTCTACTTACCCACTTGTGCCTTCCCAAGTCCTTCACCTAGCTGGAAAGATGTTGAGAGATTCATGTTAAGTTTAAGGCAGTGAGTAAAAGTACCATGGTGTATGCAAACTGGTCAGAGCACTGGCTGAAAAGGGTAGGAACCTCCATTCACCACAAGGGATGACACCTGTTCTTTGACTAGCTGGTGTGGTCTTGCTTTGGGGCAAACGCAGCTCAAACCTGTATTTCTGGGGGTGGGGTGTTCACTGCAGTTTTGGGACAAGGGGGACAATGAAACATGGTGGATGGCATTTTCCAAAGGACCCAGTGCTGGCCTAGCTCTGTCCCATTAAAGTCAATGGTAAAGTTCCCATAGACTGCAGTGGGAGCAGAGTTAGCTCAGCACTGACTGTTCTGGCAGTCCCACCTAGCATTCAGTGCCGGGGGGTGTGACAACATTCAGTTAACTGGGGGAGTGGGTGTTCTGTTAACCAGAGATTAAACGGTTCCATGGAACTGCAGTTACATCATCTCATTAAAATATTCCCCCTCCCATGTCTGTCGTTTAGTCACGTCAGGCAGCATCACTGTAGACATGGAGACTGCGTATAGAGGTATTACTCTGTGAGAGTAAGCACGTCAGAAACTGGCCCTGAATTTCTGTCTTGCTACTGGTACCTCTGTGCTTTACTCGCCGGTCACTGCAGTTCAGGGACTGTCTGTCTTTGCTACCCTTATTTTCAGGGTTTTATAACTTGGATATCAGTAACTCTGGATCGAGATCTTAGAGCCAGGTTTCAGCCTGGGATAACTACATCCATTCCTTACCAAACTTCTTCCCGTTCCCCCGAGATGACCAAAGTATACAGCCCTTTTTCAGCCAGCTGGGCCAGCCATCTTTAAATCAGGGAATGGAAAAAGAATGGGTGTGTCCCAGCTTTGGGTGTGCTGTGTTGGTGTATGCAACTGTCACGGGTTGTTTTCAGTAGCCCGGCACCTTTATGTTTCTAGATGTGTGCTTGTCTGCAGCTGCTGTTTTGTAAGGCAGAGATGATGCAGCATGTTATCAGGGAGTTGAATGTTGCATGTTTTTGTAGAGACTTTAGATTCATAGGTTTCTAAGACCAGATGGATCGTAATGATTATCTAGTCTGACCTCCTGCAAAACCCAGGCCAAAAATGCTCACCCTGAAACTTTGGCATCAAGCCCATATCTTCGGTTTGAGCTATATCATATCTTTTAGAAAGGTATCTAATTTTGAATTAAAGACTTCAAGTGATGGAGAAACCATAGGTAAATTGGTTAATGACACTTGTGTTTAAAAAAAAAAGTGCCTAATTTCTAATCTGAATTTGTCTAGCTTCATCTTCCGGCTATTAGAACTTGTCAAGCCTTTATCTCCTAGATTAAAGATCAGTCTGTCAGAAATCTCTTCCCATGTAGATACTTGTAAGCTCTGATCAAGTCACCTTTTAACCTTCTCTTGGATAAACTAAATAGATTGAGCTGCTTTAATCTCACAATGGAAAGCAGGTTTTCCTGACCTTGAATCATTCTTGTACAGGTTGAACCTATACCCCCATAGTCCAGCACCCTTGGGACATGACTGGTGCCGAACCAGAGAATTTGCTGAACCACGGGAGGTCAATGCAGAGTGCCAGCAGGTCTCCATAGGTGCAGGAAGTAGGTTATGAGGGCTGCGGCAGCACCCCCAGGCTTTGCACCCAGTGTGGCCTCCTGCTTGGGGGCCCCGCGGCTGGCCTCCCCCCTTCGGGGGGCTCTGATGCCAGCCCCAGGTCCCAGCTGCCAGCCCCTCGCCTGGGGTCCTAGCCACTGGTCCCAGGTCCTCCGCCTTCCTCCCGGAGCTTGAACGCTGTGAATCAGCTGTTCACGGAGCTCTGGAAGCGCTGGGAGGGAGGAGGAGGAGTTGGTAAGTGCGGGGCCACTAGCGCAAGAGATGCGTGGGGAAAGGGGGGCAGAAGGGGGAGCTTGCCGCCGGTGGATGCTCTGCACCCAGTAATTTTTCCCCGTGGGTGCTTCAGCCCTGGAGCACCCATGAAGTCGGCGCCTATGCTGGGCCATGGATGTTGCCGGACCAGGGAGTGCTGGATTAGAGAGGTTCAACCTGTAGCTCTTTTCTGAACACTTTCCAATTTTTCAGCATTCCTTCTTAAGTTTGGACACAAGAACTGGGCATAGCATGAAGTAGTGATCTCGATAATGTTGTATATAGAGGTAATATCACCTCCCTACTTCTATTCAATATTCCCTTGCTTATATATCTAGTGATCGCTTGCAACCTCTTAGCTACAGCATCATGCTGTTAGCTTATGTTCAAATGGTTATTTACCATGGCCGCTAAGTCATTTAGTGTCACTGAATTCCAGAATATAGACCCTCAGCTTGTAAATGCGGCCTACATTCTTTGTTCCTGGTTGTATGGCCTTGCATTTGGCTGTATCTATTAACACACGTTGTTCAAATGACCCTGCCTTGCCAAGCAATCCAGGTTGCTCTGTATAACTGACCTGTCCCCATCATTATTTACCACTCTATCAATTTTTGTGCCCTCAGCAAATTTTACTAGTATTGATTTTATATTTTCTTCCGATTCACAAATAAAGATATTGAACTTAATTGGGCCAAGAACAGACCCCTGTGGGACCCCCTTAGAAACACCCCCGTTCAATGATGATTCCCCATTTAAAATTATGTTTTGAGATCTATCAGTTAAACGGTTTTTAATCCATTTAATTTGGGCTACATTTTTATCAGAATGTCACACGGGTCTAAAACATCATCCAGAAGTATAAATCTATTATGTCCACACAGTTACCTTTACCAGCCAAACTTGTGATCCCATTAAAAAAACCCAATTTGACAAGTCTTGTTTCCATAAAACTATGTTGAGTGGCATTTAATTTTATTACCATTCCTTAATTCTTTACCAATTTGCATCCCATATCAGTTTTTCCATGATTTTGGCGAGCATTAGTATCTGACTAGTTGGCCTATAGTTACCTGGATCCTCCTGTTTACCTTTTTAAAATATTGACAGAACATTTGCTTTTTTTCCAGTCCTCTGGAACTTCCCCAGTGTTCCAAGATTTGTTAAAAATTACTATTAATGGTTTCAAAGGCTCGTCAGCCAATTCTTTTGCTACTCCTGGGTGCAACTTCTCTGGTCCTGTCGATTTAAAAAAAATTAACTTTAACATCCTCAACTATTTCACATCCTCTCTAGTTACTGATGGAATAGAAACCATTTCATTTTCACTGTGGTACATGAATTCACCATCCTGCTTCTTTCCAAATACAGAACAGAAATATTTATTGAATCACTTCTGCTTTTCCTGCATCATGAGTGACAATTTTACCACCCTGGTCTAGTATCAGACCTATACAATTGCAAGGAGTTTGTTTATTCCTAATATATATTTAAAGAATTCCTTCTTAACCTTAACCCTACTGGCCACAGTTTTGCATTGATGCTATTTGCATCCTTTATTAATTGCTTTGCCAGTTTACTTTGGCTCTTTCTTGCTTTTGCTGTGTTCCTTAATCTGAAATAAGTAACTGACTTGAAAGGAAAGCAGTTGCTGTTTGTGCTGGAAACATAGGTATACCTGATCCTGATTCTATGATCACTGATCATTTTCTGCATGTCTGCATATTTAATACTGAATTTTATTTTCCAGTACTATGCTTGCAAGCCTTTGCTCCATAGCGAGTGACTAATCACTTCCAATATTTCACCCTCCCCTACCAAAAAAAGATCCGACTAAAAAGTTGAGATTTGTAAAGTCAGCAAGCAGCAGGCATGTGAATTACAACAGAGCCTATGGTGACCAAATGTCCCAATTTTATAGGGACAGTCCCGATTTTTGGGTCTTTTTCTTATATAGGCTCCTATTACCCCCCACCCCTGTCCCGATTTTTCACACTTGCTGTCTGGTCACCCTAAAGAGCCCAGCAGGAATCCCAAGCTGGTCAAGGAATAGCTTCCCTGAGGTTGCAGGTTTATTTGCAGGTTTTCTGGAGCAATCAAATTGAAACAAATCGGCAGAGTCTCTGGCTGCATTCCCTCAATGCAGCTAAAGAGGCTTCAAACACAAAACAAAATTAAACCAAGGCAGCTCCCGTTTCCAGGCTCCTAGCTGGAAAACCCAAGCTGTTCCCCTAGGGGTCAGAAAAGAGCTGACCTCTGGGAGCCCCTCCCAAGATGGGGCTTTGAACCCTTTTGGGAACCAGTGCTGGGAAGTAGCTTGGCAAGACCCACTCCTAGGGGGGCCACTCAGCAAAGGAATTGAACATCTCGTCATCACGCCCAAGTGTCCTCTTAGCTCCACCGATAGCGCATATTAAACTCCCTGGACAGGAGGGATGTTAATACACAGCTATAGATTGTTGGTTAGCGATCTAAGGAGGAAGGGTGGGTTGTGGTGAAAGCCCTGGACTGGAAGACAGGAGATCCAGATTCAATTCTCGGCTCTGCCACAGACTCCCTATGATTTGGGCAAGTCACTTAACTCTGTCTCAGTTGTTATGAGAATAACAAAGCTGCTAATGAGAGTGTTGTACGATAGCGATTAAATACCTGGCTAGATTGTAAATAATACCTGTGCATAGCATGAGCTGCAAATATGCTGCACATGCCTGGACTAGACTGTGGGGGAAAATGCCGCCTTTTCTCGTGCTTTAAGTGTATTTTCAATGCTAATTGGGGGCGAGGGGATACGAGTCATACACAAATATAAACAAAATGAATAATGGA